AGTACCTGAACACACAATTTCACATACTAATAGATTTTACACATGGCAAACACTGTTTGACCTTTAAATATTTTCAATTAATGTATCGGAAAAGGACAATTTAAAAATAGACAGTAAATCAGAATCCAATTGGATTATAGTCTATTTATAACAAATGTAATGACATCTTGCCCTATGAAGTACCCAAATCAAAGGATGCATCTTCCTTACTACCTAAAACATTTGGCAAGGCAAAAATTTAAGTTACTTTTGCTGAATTGCTTTTTATCAAGCCACAGAGTGGTTTCGTTTTCTCTCTCAGGATCTTTCACATTCCTGTGATCCCATTTCTCCTGTTAACCTCAGAGGCTGATATATGGCGAACGACCTTTGATTATGCTGAGTGGTTAACTAGATTATCACAGCCTCTGTAGGAGATTCCAGATTTTATTTGAAGATAGTTACCCCACACTACAGCTTTAACTTGATTAGGTTTAGTTACCTCCTATCCTGGGAATACTTGTTTGTATCAGAAACAATGGATGTAAGGGAGCTGGTACATTTGGCCGCAGCTATAACAATTAACACAAAGCACTCCCTGAAAGCCAGCTTGCGTTTTGGTGACGTGTCCTTAAAGGCTTAACATGGTAAACAACAGGAAAAAGTACTTCAGGAAAAAAAATTACCTGAGAATTTTAGTTCCCTTACTGGAAGTTTCGTCAGTGTTTAAAAAAATACAAAATTTGAAAGTCAAGTAGTAAAACAATCATAGCATTTAGTAGTTTTACCTGAAGGTAAACTTTTAAAAAAAAAAGGACCTTCTAAGGAAGGTATGGTTTCTAGCTATGCCTTTTATCTACCACTTCTACCCCCAGTCAATGACACAAAAATTAGCATCACAAAATAACACAACCTAGGAACAAATATACCCAAATTCCTCTAGTATAGCACCATTTATTTGCAAGCAAACATGTCAATCAACTCCTAGACGTCTGAACACTGAATCATTCTCTGAAGAGTGGCTACTGCATGGAATCAGGGAATTACTTTTTTGATGCTGGCAAAACAAAAGACCCCGCAAACTCCTAAGTATCCTGACTCCTAACAAAGGTAAACAACTTTAAAATCAAATGCAAAGACTGGGAGTAATTTAATCTTTCCAAAATACCTTTTAATGATCTTGAAAATAAATCTGGAGAAAATGGAGTAGGATATAGTAACAGGACATATTGAGGGCATAGAAAATAGGGACTAGGACTTACTCTGTGTCCCATTGGACACTAATTTAGCACAGTATTTAACAACCTGTTTGTTCAAATAAACAGCAGTTTAAAATAAATGTTTGTGAAGAGAAGGCTAACGGATGACCTGTCACTTCTGGGTCTTTAGGAAAGGAATGATGAGAAGGAAAACAGAAGGATTTCAATTGAGCAAAAGAGTGATAAAACACTAGACTTGCTTACTGAAGACCAGAATCACCACCTCAAGAATTTCAAGGGGTAAATAAGTCAGGATCTTTGGGACATTCTCAGTTGAAGTCTGGTAGCCCAGGTACCTGTAACTTGATTATTCAGAGACTGCTATCTTCAATTAGGGGGCCCTATATATCTGATTAGCTGGAGCCAGGGCATGTCAAAATCCCACTCCTCAAAATGCAGAGGAGGAAATAAAGAGAACACAGAAGCAAGGGCTGGGTGATTCAGACTGCCAATAATGGACGAATGCAGGGTTCCATATGGCCATTTCGGGAGTGGACTGTTCGTGACTGTAAAAGCCTCACTTTGATGCCTGACTCCTTTATGGCTGCCGCTATTAAGGCTGTCACCTATTCTTCCCCCCCAATATCCCTATGATTTGGCACTGCACCATACGAGAGTCATCCCTACGACTCTTGGGACCCCCTATCTCTCCGTCCAAGTGCTGTGGGATGGATCTCCCCATCCCACAGCACTTTGTCGGAGAGAGATGATAAAATGAGTAAGCATGCTGTGGCTGATCTTGGTCAAAGAGCACAGACCCTGGAACCCACGGTGGAAAATGGGGGGAGGAAGAGAACAGAAAGTGCAGTCGGGGAGTTCATCCAATGAGCTGTGGGCAGTTACAAGCTTTCCTTCGGCAGGTATCGTTACCACCCCTTGCAATCGCCCTAGACTCCAAACCCTCGCTGTCATTCCCTTCCCCCCACTACACTCAAGTGCACATATTCGTTGGACAGCTACTTCTTAAGAACAACTTGAAAAGATAAACGTAATTTCCCCAGGCTTCTGGTTGTCAGACAATAAAGCCTCACCCTGAAGCATGGTTAAGTTCAACGGTTCTGTTCTCTTACTCTTTTTTTTGGCACGCGGTCCACCCAGCACCCCAAGCACAGGGCACCTCAGTTCGGTAAAAAGGCGACTGCCGGGAACAGTTTTAAATATATGTCAAACCTTTTGTTTTTTTGGGTGGGGGGGAACCACAACAAACTTTTGAATGACTTCAACAGCCTGGTTACAAGTACTTGACCTTATTTCCTCCCGAAAAAAAAAAAAAATAGGACACCGAGAGATCAGAAATTTATTTTTCCCTGCCTTCCTACTTCGGTCGCCGGCAGCATCTGGGGGCTACCGAAAAGGGATCTTTTAGGGTTTCTTCGGTAGGAAACTTGCTCTCAGTAGCCAAACGTTCTTTAGGCCCCTGGCTTTCTTTAAAATGTTTAACTTCACAGATAGAAAACACCCGAGGTGATGTTTCCTTTGTTAAAATCCCACGGACTTATTTAATTTGGGGCGGAAAGGCTGCTAGCAGCGATCACGACAGCAAGCCGCGAAAAGGCGGAGAGACAGGTGCGATTTCTCCCCCTGGGGGTGCCCTGCGGCGGTTCCGGCAGGGCGGCGGACCCCGCCAGCGCCACCCCGGGCCCGAACGAACCTGCGACTCCCCATGCGTCCGCGGCCTCCCCAGACACGTCCTCCCCGCGTCCGGGCCGCCCCCTGCTGCCGCCGCCCCGCGGGGCCCGGCCTCGCTGCCGTCTCCGCTCAAAATGGAGGTGGCGGCGGCGGGCGGCTGGTTACGAAACGCGCGGCCGCCACATGGCCGCACCAGCCCCAAACTTGGCCGGGTCCGCTGCGTCCCGGCGCCCAGGCGAGGCCGGGCTCCGGCGCAAGGAGGCCGCGCGGCGTCCGCTACTCACCCACGGACCGGTAGCCCAAGATCGCGATCTTTCGGGACTTGGACTGCGGCATCTTGGCGGCCTTCTCAGGCCCGGGCCAACCACATCAACTACGGCGGCGGCGGCTCCTGTGCTGCGATCGGCGGCGGCCGCGCCGGGGCAGAGCGGCATCCAGGGGCGGGGCGGGGCGGGCGGGCGCGGGCGGGCGCGGCTGCCTCGACTCCAAGCTCGCGCGCCCAACCGCCCGGAACCGCCGAGTGGACCCGCCCCCAAACACGCCCACGTGACCGCCCGCCGCCGCCGCCTCTGGGACCCCAGAGACCCGCGTCAGCGCCCCCGCCCCAACCACGGCGGCCGCCCCCGCCCCAGAAACGCACAGGGGTGCGTCGGGCGGCGTTTTACTTTAAAGGGAAAAAGAGGGGACGCCGAGATACCCCCGGAAATGTCACGCCTGAAACTCGCTGCGTCATGACCCTCCCTCCGTCTTCCGCCGCTTTTTAATTACGCCAATTCTCCTCGAGCGTTTATTGGACAACTTTCGCCCGCCCGCGCGATGATGCGACGGAAACTCCGTTTCCCATTGGGCGTGGCGAGGAGGCGGAGTCTGAAGGCGGGGCCGCTCGCCCGGGGGCTAAAAATAAAATCAGGCTGCGACCGCGCGGTAGTGCGCCAGTGAGGTTTGAAGGCTTCGGAAGTCGCAGGGAGGGGGGCAGGCGGGAGGAGCGGAGCGACGCTAGCTTCCCAGTGATTGGTTAGAGCAGGTTGAGAGGCGGAGCAAGCTGTGGGAGGCGCGGTGATTGGCGAAACGCCGAGCGGTTGGTGGACGCGCTCCCACCGAGCCCTTAAAAGGCGAGAGACGGGAGGCGCGTGGCTGTTACCTCCTTGCCCGTGGGTTGGCTGTGTATGTTTTTAAAGCCCCTTTGACATATTGGCGTAAGTCTGGGTTTGAGGATGTAGGTGGTGACTAAACGTCATGCAAGGTGAGGAACCGTGAGAAGAATGGGAAGTGCGTTAATTCAAAATATTTTGCATTTCATTCAAAATCTGTGCGTCTCCCTAGTTCCGGTCTCTACCCTGCGATGTGCCGACACGGCACACCTCAGTAGACAAACTTAAAACACTAGCTGCTGCCTGAGAACCGTCATTCCGTTGGGGATTTAAGTCCGCCGGCTCGCTCTCGGGCGTGGGCTGACCTCTCCAGACGCTGCTGTATTTTCCACAAAAGGCGACCCCTTTTTCCTGGTGCTGGTGAGGAGCCGTTGGCGTGTCACCAATGTTGAGTGCAGGGATGGCAGCCCGGGAGGCCTCGGTCATGGAAAAGGAAGGGGAAAGCCAGGCCTGGGAAGTGGGGACCATTGGGAGATTTCCAGCTAAGGGAGACTTCCATCATGGTCGATGTCCTTGCCCTTGGTTGATTGCTAAAAAAGCAAGATACCCCGTTACACCCCCGAATGTCCCCTGTTGTCCTCCGGCTGTTGGACAGTGTTGACCTGTTGAGTGGGACAACTTGATGGTCACGCATGGCTTTTCGCCTTTCCCAGTGAATACAGAGAGGAAACCCCCTGGAAGCTAAGCCGCAAGATTGGATTCCTGGGTATGAAGATTTAGAGGTGACTGTCCCATAAATGTGTCAGAACACTGGCGTTAGGGCAGATTCCTTTCACTGCCCCGCCCACATACTCCTGGGAGGGGGTGTGAACATTCTTTTCCTGGTGGGGTGTGGGGGATACGTGTGTGTGTGTGTGTGTGTGGGGGTGTCTACCGATGGAAGCCCCAGGCAACCAGCTGTGAGAAATGTCTTTGAAACTTTGTGTTTTATCTTAATGGATTTTTGCATTCTACTCTATCATTAGTTGAAATATTTAAAAACTTCAGGTCTAAAAATGACTCTCCAGGGAAATGTATCATTTTTATCCTGTGGGTTTGGATGTCCCCAACCACAACAGTATTTTGAACTGATAGTACTAGGCTCCCTGGTGGGTTGTGAAATCAGCTTAGTGGGTGATACCTTTTTTTTTTTTTAATAGAACAGAATGGAAAAATAGTATGTTGCCTACTGTAAGTAGGGTTTCATGACATTTTTGTTGTGTGGATATATATATATATAGATGTGCTATATATGTATTGTATACTGAGTTCCATTGTAAAATCTGTTTCTTATTGAGGTTGCCTCAAAAAGTTTGAAAACACTGCCTTAGCCTTGGGAATGTTAGGAGTCCAGACCGAGAAGTGCAGTTGTAAAGGACAAGTTCATTCAAGAAATGTTCCAATTGTCTTAAAGCCCTTTAACGTTAGTCAGACCCAGGAGTTTTGAAGATCCCTTTATTCCAGAGTGGGGAGAATTTGTCTGGTTTAAGAAATGACTCAGATTACCTAAAATAATTGGAATGGATGGTATGAATTCACATAGACATAACCAATTGCAGCCAGACCGCACAGGAACATGGGTGGGAGAAGTGGACTTGCTTCTAAATTCAAAGTAGTTCTGCTGATGAGATCACTCGTTAACCTTTTAAGCCGCTGGAACTTCTGCCACCAGCCAATTTCTTCCTATTCAAGGCTGCTCTGTCTTGTGAACTCTGCATGCTAACTTCCCTCTGTGTTTTCTTCCACTGCCTTCTGTTTCCCTGGGAACCAAGAACTCCTTCTCCATTTAAATTCCAGAGAAAGGACATGATTGGTTCAGCTAATTATCATCATCTCTTGAGTGAGGAGCTCATGCTAAACCTACAGATGGGCCATGGAAGCTTCCGCTGGCCTAAACCACCGGCACTGGGGGTAAGGCAGTTAATGGCACTTACTTGAAACTTGACCTGTCCACTCTCATGGGATCATTCTTAACTTTCTGTGAGCATTAACAAGTCCGATGACTTCTGATTTCTAGCTCCAACATATATATTTTTTTATTCCCCTGGGGGTAATATACAAAACTTTTCTTTCCCCCACCATTGAGAAAGAATGCTTGTTTTTTGACTGAAAGGACATTTGTGAAATTATTTGACCTCTTTTACATGTGAAAGAGTGACCCTAAATGAAAGTAGACATGAAAGTGTTTAGTTTTTAAAATATTTGTAAAAGGATGACTGGAAAAGAACTAGACTCATCTTAATCTTGGGTTAGCCGAACCACACTGATCTGTTACGTCTCACATAGGGTATTGTTCAAATCAAACACTGCAGGTTTGGGGATACATACCAAGGTCGTTCCATTGTGTGGTCATCTTGTTGGAGTCAAGGGGACAGATCCTCCTCTTGTGGATGCAGTCATGGTTTCCTCAGCATCCTAGTATGAGGCCATCCTGGGGAAGGCAAATCCCAGACTTAACACTGGGATGAAAGAAAACCCTCTTCTCTCTGAAGCCAGGGATCCATGTGGCCCAAACCCTGAGGTATGGAGTTGCATGGAGGGTTCCAAGAAGAAGGAAAGTGAGGTAAGCCAGCCTTACGACCATGGAGGGAGGCCACGCCATGACCGAGGAAGTTGACTCAGAAAGAGCTCTGAGGACAGGGCTGGGCCTATTCAGTAGTTGTAAATTGGTCTCAACTATTAGGGGTTGAATGTGCCCCTCCCCACCCGCAAAAAAAAAAAGATATGTTGAAGTTTACCCTCTCAGAATGTGATCTTATTTGGGCATGGGGTTGTTGCAGAGGTCCAATCCCTAATCCAATGTGACTGGTGTCCTCAAAAGAGAAGAGACATAGGCACACAGACACAGAGGGAAGACAGCCTTGTGGTGAGAGAGGTAGAGATCGGAGTGATGCTGCCACAGGCCAAGGAATGCCTGGTGCTCACAGAAGCTGGAGCGGGCAAGGAGGGTCCTCCCCTAGAGACTTCCCAGGGAGCATGGCCTTGCTGACACCTTGATTTTGGACTTCTGGTCTCCAGAATCAATTGACGTTATTTTAAGCCACCAGTCTGTGGTACTTTGTTACAGCAGCCCTAGAAAACGAACATAGCAATTATAAAATCATCAATAAATTTTCATTAAAAGTTCAAATCTAGTTTCTGCTGAGCATGGATGAAATTGGCCTTCTTCCCAAGCCCCCAAGCCAGACTGTACCTGATAGGAGCTTCCACCAGCAGAGGGGCTGCCGTGCCCAGGAGAGCAAGTCTTCTGAGGGTCGCATGGCTGGAGCAGAGCTCCTGTGCAAAGCCTGTGTGACGACAGCACATGGGGGGTGCTCAGGAAGACTCAAGCCGCCAATTCCTTACAATAAAACAAGTGATGGCTTGTGCCAGGAAGGCTTGGAATAATATGTTCTTCAGATGTGCCTTAGATGTGGCATTTAGTCACAGTGTTCATAAGCCACTGGAGGATGTAATTACCATTGAGGGACATAGTTGCTGTAGGTTCCTCATCCTGTGTGAAAGGGTTGTCACAGTGTTGGGATTTCTTTCATTGGTGTGCAGAAGAAAAAATAAATAAAACTTCTGTTTTTGAGACATTTTTATTTAAGAAATAAATTATTGAGCTTTGCTAATATGTAATGTATGGACTGACCATGGCACCCTCATAGCCTGTATGACAGACAGATGGTGGCATGTTATGACTGGTCTGAGAGGAATCTGGGGTGGGACTTCCACATCAGGGAGGGGTTGGCAGCAGTGCCTTCACTGTTTAGTGCTCAGAATATTATAATGTATTGCTTTTCATGCGTCTGGTTCTGAGGAATTACAGAATATACTACCTAAGTTCTATTCAACTAAATTGAACAAAATGGTCATTGGTCTTAGAAGATCCTCCAAAGAAGACAAGACATAATGATGAGAATAAAAACAATATGAACTCGCACTAAGAAAAATGGGAGAGCCATCACCTCCTCCTTGAATGAGCTCTTTGTCAACTACATTAAAGGTAAGCATGATAATCTAATCATGTGACAAAAATTTTTACAAAAACTAAGAATTAACAAGAGGAGCATTTAAAATATGGATTCGCATCCACTAGTGTTAATGATGGCTCAATGTAATGAGACCTCGATATTAGCTCATGATATAGTAAGTATCCCTTAACAAATAGCAAGATGTAGCATCCAAAACACTTAAGGAAGACCTTACCAATTTTTCTGCAGCTTTTGTTTTGAAAATGTCAAGCATGTATAAAAGTTAAGAGATTAGTACATTGAGCCACAGGCCCATCACCTGCTTCAATATTTACCGAGTCATGGACTATCCTGTTTCATCTATAGCTTACCCACTGCCCCCACCCACCCATGGGTTATTCTGAAGCAAATACTAGCTATCATACCATTTCATTCATAAACACTTCAGTATTTTCTCTGAAAGATGATTCTTTTTAAAAAATATAACATGCCATTTTTACACCCAAACAAAACCAAATATCCAGACTATTCGAATGTCTCTTAATGCTTCTTAATTTTAACAAGTTTGCTCAAATCAGAATCCAGATAAAATCCATATAGTGCCACTGGTTTCTATATCTCTTAAGTCTTTTACTTTGTAAAATAAACTTTATTTTTTAGAAATGGTTAGAGATGTACAGAAAAATGGTGGAGACAGTATAGAGAGTCCCCAAACATCCTACACCGCCTCCCCCTTTATTAATATCTTACATTAGTGTGGTCCATTTGTTAGAATGAATTGCCTGATATTGATACATGATTATTGAATAAAGTTATTGAATACATTACTGTTGAATACATTATTCAGATATTCTTAGTTTTTCCCTGTCCTTTTTTTCTGTTCCAGGCTCCCATCCAGAATACCACATTACCGTTAGTCATCAGGCACAGGCTCCTCTTGGATGTCATAGTTTCTCAGTGTTTTCTTGCTTTTGATGACCTTGACAGTTTTGAGGAGTGCTGGTCGGGTGTTTTATAGATTGTCTCTCAACTGGGATTTGTCTGATGTTCTAGGTTTAGTCTAGGAGTATGGGTCTTTGGGAAGAAGACCGTGGCAGTCAAATGCCATTCTCATCACATCATCTCAAGGGAACATATTATCGGCATGACTTACCATTTTCAATGTTGACCTTGATCACCTGGTTCAGGGAGTGTTTGTGACAGGCTTCTCCACTGGAAAGTTACTCTTTTCCTCCCCCTTTCCATATTGTCCTCTTTGGAAAAAAGTCACCCTGTGCAGCCCTCACAGACGGGGGAGCTAGGCTATACTAGTTCCCTTCTGTTGAAGAATTTCCTTCAACATTTTTTTGTAGTCTCCTGGCAACAAATTTACAATGAATTTATCTGAAAATTGTCTCTATTTCATTTCTTTTATTATTCTGAAATAATTATAAATTAACAAGTAGTTTCAAAAATAGTACAGAGAGGTCCTGTGTGCCATTCTCCGGATGGTAACATCTTACATACAGTACAGTACAGTGTCAAAATCAAGAACTTGAAATTGGTACAACCCACAGGACTCATTCAGATTTCACCAGGTTTACATGCACTCATTTGTGTGTGTTCTATTCAGTGTTACTACATGTGTAGATTTTGTGTAACCAAAACAACAATCAAATCACAAAGCTGTTCCATCACCACAAAGATGTCTTATGCTGCCCTTTTAATTCCTCTTCATTTTTGATTTTTTTTTTT